CCAAAAAAAAAACCAAAGGTTGCCTAAAAAATATCACTTTAAACTTTCACCCAGTTTTGTATAATTCCACCACCCTGCTTTTTGAATAATCCGATTGGGAATGTTCAACTAGAAAACAGATAATATTACGAAGAAATAATAAACAGAAACCCCAAGTGTGATTATACTATTTTCAAAGGGACAGACAATCACATTATTATGATGACCTATAATAAAGATTGATTGTCATTCAATATGAATAGAGTTTTGAGATTGTAAATAAAATATTAACTTTAAAAAGCGAAATCATTTGACATGGAAATCATATGAAATGAATACATTGACTGAAACTGGACTAAATATTGAACACTTATTAAAGTTATTTTAATTAAACATGCAGATGAAGATACATGTATATATATTGACGTATATTGCGCTATTTGACGAGGCTATAATTGCAAGGTACATCAAACAAGATGGAATTTGTGAAATGCAATGCTGCCACCGCATTATGTCGCACTAAAAATAGTAGGAGTAAAATATTAGTTTGTCATTTGATTTATGATATGTATAGATCACAATTACCAATACCAAATCAGAGACAAATATGAAAAAGGTCACAGCTTAAATTTGACCTTTGACCTAAATAGTCAAGGTTAAATACGGTCAAATATTTCCATATCAAATGACAATGTTCAGATTTATTTTATGTCTGAACTTAATTAATTTCATAGCTAACAAATCAATGAAGTTATTTTCTATCTACTGACCCCATAGGATGGATGAGTTGACCCCCAGGGGGTCATGCTTTTCACAAACTTGGTAGAGGTTCATGATTAATGCAAAATATCAAAGTTGTAGACCATATTATTATGTTTTCACTATCGACTTTGGCACCTGGGCGGGTAAGATTTATGAAAAATACCTTAGCTCTAGGCCATGCAGTTCTGAAGAAGATCATTTAAATTTTAGGACTTATAAAAGGATAGACACGGTTAAGACTTTCTATGAAACACAGCCCTGCTTTATGCCACTTTCATCTTTTAAAGGCACATCATTCCTAAGAAAAATAAAATTTCCATTCTGTAGAAAGAGGTTATCTGGTTTTTTTGAACATTGTTTTAACCCATTACTTCATGAGCATTTTGTGAAAAATGGCTGTTTTCATTGAAAAGTCTCCCGTTACAAGTTCAAATTGCTATAATACTATAAAAACTGCTTCAACACTAATCAAACTTGGCACAAATGTTGACTGGACCATTGCACTTGCAACAACATGCTCAGGCTTAAATTTTCTGTTACCATGGCAACGAGGGGACATCTCAAAATTGCCAAAAATCACTATTTTGCGTTGATTTTTTCCATCAAAATTGATTTCAAAGTGCTGCACTTTCTCAATGGATTGAGATAGAGTCAAATGCTTTTCAGCGTTGGTTACACGTTACCTTATGATCAATCTGGGGTCATTTACAGCCTCTCACAAGTCCAAAATTTTTCTTGGCGATGAGGGGGACTCCGCCCCCCTTCAAACCCCCCAAACAGAAGGGGGCACATCCCCCTTCTGGCAACCCCCTGATGTATCTTTTGGTTGGGGGGCCGCGCCGAAAAAGAGGTCACTTTTTTTAACAACATTTCTCAAACAAAAACAAGTGTTGGGGGCCTAAATAAGGCATTTTTTCATCATTTGAGACAACAAAAAGGGGGGGGGGGGTGAAAAAGGCGTTAAAAGGCGTGTATATGAAGTAATGGGTTAATTGATTAAGAACATGTGAGATGCTAAATACCGCTGAATGTGAAATAATTTAATTGCCAAAACACAAAAGACGCACAAGATGGATTAGCTATGAGGCCAATAACTTTCTTTTTGGAAACTCTAAACAGGACACCAAAAGTAAAAAGATTTTGAGATAAAAAATTTAGCATTTTGGAGATTTAATGAACATGATAGCCCATTAAGACTCTATTGTTGGCTGCTTGAAATCCATTCTAATAACCTGTTTCAAATACAATACAAGGGCCATCAGTGATGACATGTGTCGCCTCATGATAGCCATAACTCGGCGAAAAATCATTCAACCAAAAAACCTGTGTAATGTGCACAAGAATTTGAGCTACCAATCGATCCTGTAAAGTTTCATTGAAATTGCATAAGTGGTATAACAGGAGTAGTCCGGACAAATTTCAAAATTAAAATCATGAAAGGGCTAAAACTCACAAACATCAATGGACCAAAACATGTTGATAAGATGCACAACTAGACATAATAGTTTTGATGAAATTGCACCAGTAGTTTCTGACGAGCAGTCCAGACAAACCTCTGTGTAGCTGGCAACACAAAACATCTTTTTTATTCAAGGGCAATAACTCAGCTGAAAAACATCCAAGCGAAAACTGGTGTATTATGCACAAACAATTGTCCTACCAATCAATTCTGTAAAGTTTCATTGAAATTTCATCACTGGTATAAGAGGAGTAGTAACACTCTTTTCATTCAAGGGCCATAACTGGGCCAAAAAACAAAACATTCAAGCATTCAAAATTTTATTGAAACAATTCTTATCCACATATTTTCACAAGATATTTATATTTTCTATTTCTTTCACCAAATCAATGTCTGCTTTTACACTTCCTCTCCTTGCTAGTTTATCTAACACTTGACAATTTTTCTCCCACGCTGACTTTAGTTTACTACTTTCAACACTACTATTATCAACACTTAATGCATATATGACCTCATTGACCTCGTCTTCTATTTGATGACAAAAAACTACATCAAAAACTTTCTCTATTCTCTGTTTAACTTGCGTCTTTAACATATCATCTCTACATACCAGGTTCAGTATAAACACACCTAAAACAAACAAAAATTCAAAATCAACAGTGTAATATAAACAACTGATATGATAATTTATATCTTACATTAATGAATAATTTCTCAATTGGCATAACATTTTATAACAAAACATAACCCTTAACTTGCTGAATTTCCTGACCTGTTAATCTTCCAAATTGAGACTGTCCATTATCAAATTTTATATATATAAATTTTATGATGGAACTTTTGATTAAAGATTTATCAATAGTAGTCAGACTGTAATAATAGCCTTGATGGCTTGCGGTCTCAGCATTTCACCAAAGATTTTAATCTTTAGATTATCAGGAGGGATATCTTTTAACCCTTTACCTCATATATACGCGAAACAACGCATTTTCGACCCCCCCCCTTTTTTTAGGCCTCAAAGAGTGAAAAAATGTCCTATTTGGGCCCCAAACACATGTTTTCGTTTGAGAAATGTTGCTAAAAAATTGAGCACTTTTTCGACGCCGCCCCCCATCCAAAAGATACATCAGGGGGTTGCCAGAAGGGGGATGTGCCCCCTTCTGTTAGGGGGGGTTTCAAGGGGGGGGGCAGAGTCCCCCTCATCGCCAAGAAAATTTTGGACTTGTGAGAGGCTAAAAATGACCCCAGGTCGATCATAATGTAATGTGTAAACAACGCTGAAAAGCCTTTGACTCTATCTCAATCCCTTGAAAAGTTGCAGCACTTTGAAATAAATTTTGATGGAAAAAATCGAGGCAAAATAGCGATTTTTTGCAATTTTGAGATGCCCCCTCGTTGCCATGGTAACAGGAAATTTAAGACTGAGCATGTCGTTACAAAGGCAATGGTCCAGTCAACATTTGTGCCAAGTTTGATTAGTATTGAAAAATTTTTCATAGTTTCATAGCAGTTTGAACTTGTAACAGGAGGCTTTTCAGTGAAAACGGCCATTTTTCACAATATGCTCATGGGGGAAAGGGTTAAAAGAATTTCTAAGAAGAGTCAATGTCTAGAAGATTCATGCAATCTTTATCAATCCATGAAAATTGTAAGCATCTTTAAAATGGATACATTTATCATTAAAAGAAAATATTTTTCATGTTAAAAGGTTATTTCCTATTCTTGTGTTAAATGATGCCTAAATTAAAAAGCGGTCTAAAAGAATAATATAGAACATCCTAAATGAGACCATTCAAAACTATTTTACTGGCTAAGGACACAGTATTTCAAGTCACAGCTTCCCAAGGAACTGCTTTATGAATTGTTGATGCCTGAAACCAGATCATCTATCTTTAAAGTTCACTAGAACCTTGACAACTGAGTATAAAGTACCTGCACGATTAAAAAATCCTTTTCATTTTTTTAATTTCTCCCATTAAAGTAAGACATTGAACAAAAAACAAATCCCAAACATAAGCCAAATATTCAGAATACAATCAGATAATGCAAGTCATAATGAACAATTAATAAAGTGAATACTTTATGAAATATATAAACACAGTTTTAATCAAGAATGAAATAACACTAACCTCCATTAAACAGACTGTCCTTTATACAGTGAAGGAAGTTTTCATCTACAAAAGGTTCTGGTGGACAACTCATACCCACTGATACATCACTACCATTAACATCCAACATTATAACATATCGTCTCCTTCCTGTAATATGATAGCATTTCACTGTTTAAAAGTTGGTTAAATGTATAACTTCTTTAGGGGCTCAAATTTTTATATGAAACATATTAGCTTTATGTGAAGGTACATGATAGAGATTTTTTTTCAAAATAAAGAGATATCACAGTATCTTGTAATTTTTAAGTTTTCACCTGTTTCATCATATATTGAAGCTGCTTTGTCACAAAAACATGTGTCTCCTAAAACTAAGTATGGTACTGATCACTCCTGTGAATTTTAGTCAAAATCAGTTTAATCTGTGAAAGATGGAAAGGTTTTTCTATTTTTAGCTCTGGGGGCAATTTCGTGCAGCAAAGCTGAACATGCTGGTAATACGCACAACTAGGGATGGTAGTGATCACTCCTTTGAAGTGTCACAGAAATCACGCCTGCAGTTTGACCTGTGAAAGCCTGACAAGCTGAATGTGGACGGACAGACAGACGGCAAAAACAATATGCCTCCCAAAATTAAAATTTTTGGGAGACATAACTATACCTATTACTGAAGGTGATTAATACCCCCACTAGCAACTTTGAATTTTTGAAAAATAAGTGGTCTGAATAAAAATTTGAACACAACCTATAGTAAATGAACTATCAACTGTATACAAAATTATTTCAATTAATTGCAATCCTAACCAGGGTTTTCATATAAGCTTGCTATACACCAAGCTTGATTACAAAATCTCATTCCTAAGTCTAGTTATTGTCTGGAAACCATTTTTCTATTTTTAGTAACAATGACCTTGACCCCAGAGGGTCGAAATACAATACCAACCAGGGTCTCCACATAAGGTTGCTATATACCAGATTTGATTACAATACCTCATTCCAAACTCTAGTTATCGTCCGGAAACCATGATGTTCACCGATATAATTATCCAAAACATAAAATTTCTCTATGATCAACAGTTCAAATAAAATCATAAAGAACTGATTGTTCATACATTTGTCAAGCTTACCTTTCTCTTTTTCAGTCTGTATATAAACTAACCCATCATCAACATGGGCTTTAAGCTTATCATCTGGGACAAAACCGAACCATTCTGTGGCTAGCGTAACAATTTCTGGATCTATATCTACAACATCTATTTCTATCTGAAATGAAAACATTCTCTAATATCATACCATGCTGACAGAATAAATTTCCTTATCAACTGGTTCATAAGTTGACAATTATTGCCATAATTTGTTCACATAACTTAACTGATTATGACTTGTTAAATGTTGCTTTAGAATAATTTGAACATTTTAACCTTGCTTTTTATCATAAATTTTACAATGACTTTTAAATCAGGTGAGCAAAACTGTTCAATCTACAAACAAAATTAGAGACTTAGTTCTATAACAATATATAAAATGCCCTATTTTAGCATAATCTGTACCAAAGAATTTTTGTCTGGTTCTCTGGTCAATTTTGGTCACATCTTGGTTATTCATTCACCTTACTAGTTTTCTTGGATAGGAACCTGTCTTTTTTTTATTAATTTACTTTGATTTAACTAAAATTATCATGCACTTAATTCATTAACATGTAATATACTTACTTCAGGATAATAAGTATGAATATATGTAGGAAGACCACCACCACCAAGGCCTACCAGTAACACTGACAGTCCTGATACTGAAACAATAATCATCAATATATAACATTCAATAAATGAAACTGATTTATGCTCCCTCATGACTGCTAAATATATTGTAATATTGCAATAGTAAGTACAAGTAAGTACATAACTAATCATACTGTTAACAGACTACAAATGTGAATGCTATTCCACTTGAAATAGTATACAATTCAGTAAATAAACTAAGAACATAGTGACAGTATATAATTTATAACTCCTTAACTATTTAAATTTGCAAAACAACCTTTTCTTGTGAACTGGAAATTTGATATAATAAAATCATATGAATATACCATTTGCACATACATGTAACTTTCCCCATTTAACAAGATAATTCAAATTAAATAACAAAGATGCAAAAACAAAATATAAAGGTGGTTAACATTGAAGGGGAACAATGTGCTGTCTAGTCTGCCAAAACTATTCAGGGTTAACATGTTTTGTAGCATTTGTGTGAGCAGGTTATATTTGATATCATAAATTATTTCAGGTGAAATGGTTTCAAGTGTGGGAATTTATAGGCATTTGTTTCTTTTCATAAGTTATAGCATTATATATCAGTACTGAAAATAGCTTTTGTTTAACATTTCCTTTCTGTAATTATTAACTTCTGCAATAAAAATACAATATAAAACAACAACAACAACATTTCTGATGTTTCAGGAACCAAATATTAATATTACCTAGTAATGAGGAAAAATCATCACATTGGACACATGCTAGGCCTGCTACCATAGCAACATGATGTTGACAGGCAAGATAACTCTTATCAACAACATTGCTGAGTTGTTTTCCTTTATTTTTCTTCTTTTGAGATACTGTAATAAAAATAAAATATCATGTTTTCTTTAAAAGCTAACATTTACAATGATAAAAATGTAATGTCATTGAAGGATGTAATAAAAATTTTAGAAATGAGAGGTCCCTCTAAATAATCAAGACAACAAATAATTAACAAGAGCTGTCACAGGAGACAGCCAAGCTCGACTAATAAAATACTGGACGCAGTAAGGAGGACAAAACTATGAAAGAAAAATCAGTTATGTATAATTATGTAATAAGTTATAGTAAAAAAATAACATTTGTTAAAATAAATTCCAAGATCAAGGGAAATAATTCTAGAAATAGTCATGCTAGAGTTATGAACCTTGTCACACAACATGTATGTAATGATAAGAAGTATATATTTGAAGTTTGAAATAGATACCTTAAAAAGTAACAAAGTTATAATATTTCTTAAAGAAAATCCTAAGTTCAAAGAGAAATAAATCTGTAAAAATTACTTCAAGAGTTATGAACATTGTCACATAAAATATAATTGATTATAAGGAATAAGTATTTGAAGTTTGAGGTAGATACCTTTAAAACTAAAAAAGTTATAGTAAAAAAATAACATTTTTCTAGTAAAAAAATCTAAGTTGATGGGGAGATAATTCTTGCAATATTGGTGCTAGAGTTATGAACCTTGTCACATAAGATGTGGATGATGATAAGGTACATAAGTATGAAGTTGATCCCTTTAGAAATAAATAAGTTACAGTAAAAAATAATATTTTTTAAAGAAAATTCTAAGTACAAGGGGAGATAAATCTGAAAATATTGGTGCTTAAGTTATGAACCTTGTCACATAAGATGGGGATGATGATAAGGTACATATATTTGAAGTATGAGGTTGATCCCTTAAGAAATAAAGAAGTAACAGTAAAAAATAGTGTTTTTTAAGGAAAATTCTAAGTTCAAGGGGATATAAATCTGAAAATATTGGTGCTAGAGTTATGAACCTTGTCACATAAGATGTGGTTGATGATAAGGAACATATATTTGAAGTTTGAAGTTGATACCTTAAGAAATGACAAAGTTATAGTGAAAAATATTTTACTGCACCAAAACTTTAATCTGAAATCTGGACGCGGACGACGACGCCGGGGCGAGTAGGACAGCTCTCCATATACTTCGTATAGTCGAGCTAAAAATCGCAGACATGGTTACACTGAGTTGTCCGTGTACGATAGAGAAGAATGCATATGCAACATTCCTCAACCAACTTAGCCTGACTTGAGCAGTATTCAGATCTCAACAAGTTCAAGTACTGAATTTACTGATCTGGAAGCACTAGAAAAAATTTACTCTGAGATGAAGTACCAGGTAATTTGTACCGTCTGCTACACAACAGTTAACACAGATAAATGCATATAATAAATTTATATACTTGGAAGTTTTAGATTCTCACATATGATGTTATTGTAAGAATCCATAAAAATTATATCTCTTTCAATACATCAATCAGTCACTTATATTTGTGCAATTCATATCAGATTCAGGGAAAGTCAATCATGTATGCTGGGGAATAAATGTGCTCATCACTGAGCTAAGATATCTAATATAGTAAGTTCACTGAAGCATGTTATGTTAAAGAAAAAATATCAAAGTTTGAAACTTGGTTATAATCTTTCCATATATCTACCTTAAGCAATATCTAATAAAATAATAAAACAAGAGCCGGTTGAACCAGGTGATGCTCCCCGACTAGGATTTGGACACAGAAAAGTATATCTTTTGTAGTTTCAGAGTTATGTCCCAGACAAAGTTCAAAGTGTGATAATTCCAAACTTAGGCAATGCAGAGTTACTGTTCTTTGCACTGCACTTCTACTCAATTAGATCTATCTACTGACTTGCCCGCGACACCTCATCTCAATTATGTTGATCATTTCTGTGAAAAAGTTGTAAAATCCGACTTCAAATAACGGAGTTATGGCCGGGACACAATTTGCTTCAAGGTCATGCTGTGGCCTTGACCTTCAAGGAAGCGACCATAATGTTGTGTGCGACACGTCTCTCAATATGGTGATCATTTCTGTGAAATAGTTGTAAAATCAGACTTCAAATGACCAAATTATGGGCCGGACACGATTTTTCTTCAAGGTCTTGCTGTGACCTTGACCTTCAATGTAGCGACCAAAATGTTGCACGTGACATGTCATCTCAATATGGTGATCATTTCTGTGAAAAAGTTGTAAAATCCGACTTCAAATAACAAAGTTATGGGCCGGACATGAATTTGGGACATACGTACGAACTGACAGACAAACCGGCCACTATATACTCCCTTGAAATTTTTCGGGAAGCATAACAACAAATTAAAAAACAAGAGGGCCATGATGGCCCTGAGGTCGCTCACCTGTATATAGGCCCCCCCCCCCCCCCCCCCCCCCCCCCCCCCCCCCCCCAAACGTTGCAGGCCCAATTTAACCAAAGGGCTTTTATTTGAACAAACTTGGTAGTCACCCATAAAGAAGACTTTTCATGCTAAACATCTAAGCTCTAGCTCATTGGGCTTTTTAAAAGAAGATTTTTTTAAAGTTTTTACTATACACATATAGTTAAAAACAATGACACCCCTGGGGCCGGGCCAGTTTTGACCCCAGGGCTTTTATTTGAACAAACTTTGTAGACACTTACTAGAAGATGTTTCATGCTTAATATCTAAACTCTAGCTATTTGGGTTTTTTCAAAGAAGATTTTAAGTTTTTGCTATACACATATAAAGAAAATCAATGACCCCCGGGGCGGGGCCAATTTTGACCCCAGGTCTTTTATTTGAACAAACTTTGTAGACACTCACTAAAAGAGGTTTCATGCTTAATATCTTAACTCTAGCTATTTTGGTTTTTTCAAAGAAGATTTTTTAAGTTTTTGCTATACACATATAAGGAAAATCAATGACCCCCCGGGCGATGCCAATTTTGACCCCAGGGCTTTTATTTTAACAAACTTGGTAGACACTTATTAGAACATGTTTCATGCTAAATATCTTAGCCATAGCTCTTTGAGTTCTTTAAAAGAATATTTTTTAAGTTTTTACTATATGCATATAGGGAAAATCAATGACCCCCTGGGGCGGGGCCAATTTTGACCCCAGGGCTTTTATTTGAACAAACTTGGTAGACACCTATTAGAACATGTTTGATGCTAAATATCTTAGCCATAGCTCTTTGAGTTCTTTAAAAGAATATTTTTTAAGTTTTTACTATATGCATATAGGGAAAATCAATGACCCCCCGGGGCGGGGCCAATTTTGACCCCAGGGCTTTTATTTGAACAAACTTGGTAGACACTTATTAGAACATGTTTCATGCTAAATATCTTAGCTCTAACTCTTTTGGTTCTTTAAAAGAAGATTTTTTAAGTTTTTACTATATGCATATAGGGAAAATCAATGACCCCCCGGGGCGGGGCCAATTTTGACCCCAGGGCTTTTATTTGAACAAACTTGGTAGACACTCACTAGAAGATTTTTCATGCCAAATATCTAAGCTCTAGCTCTTATGGTTTTTTAAAAGAAGACATTTAAAGTTTTTTCTTTCGGTTGCCATGGCAACCAGAGTTCTGCATGGAATTAAATTCTTTGAACAATTTTTAAAGGTGACCACCAAAGGAACATTCCTGTGAAGTTTGGATGAAATTGGCTTAGTGGTTTATGAGGAGATGTCATTTAAAGTAAAAGTGTACGGACGGAGGCTGGACGGACGGACGCCGGACGAAAAGCGATCACAAAAGCTCACCCTGTCACTTTGTGACAGGTGAGCTAAAAATAACATAAATATGCAACACAAACTGTATGTAATACAATAGTAATATATTACTGTAACTATATGTACCTGGCTTAAGTTTCGCCTCTGATTGTACAACATTTTGGTTGCTAAGGAACACAAGTCTTCGATATATAACGTTACCATCACCCTGCACTTCCTCTACCACATAATCACCACTGATTTCACTATGCCCACTCTTAAACACCTTTCTCCAACCTATACTGTTACCCACAGAGAGAAACGGCACCTTACAGGTAATAAGAAATTGTTGTTAAACATAAACATGTTGTAATACTAATATGACTCTGATTCTGAAATGCATTCAAATATCAAAACATTGCAGTAGAAAAGAAAATGTGCAGACACATTGAAATTTAAAATCCTTGACATTTGATAAGTTAACGATAACAGGTACAAATAAAACAAAAACAACATGTCTGGAAAGGGTAAAGTAACAGAATTTTTACATGAAAAATATTTTTATAACTCATTCAAAGTAGTTTTAAATTAACTAAATTCAAATTCAAGGTGAGAAAGTTTTTCCACTGCATTAACAGATAGTACCTTTGTTCCATGTTTAAAGGTAGGAGGTGCTAGTTCCATCACCTTGGTAGACAGTTCAGCCTGTATAGCATCAATATCAGTGTATGTATGATTACGATGTAAGGTCACTACAACAAGTCGTTCAAACCCAGCACTCTCTGATAGTTGAATCCTACCAGCATTTGTAGCAAACATCCATTCTGTTTCCCTAATGTAGAAAATACAAGAAATAAACTTTAGAACTGCTTTTACTTGTCTATGCTTTGTGAAAAACAAAACAAAAACAACAAAAATTCAAGCTTCACCTGGTATTCTTTACTTGGCACATAGTTTAATAATAAATGTACTTTATATACATTGTACATACCTTCAAGGCCACATAGTTTAATAATAAATGTACTTTATATACGTTGTATGTACCTTCAAGGCCCATTATGTCCCAGAAATGCCTTTATATCTATTTCTTAGAGGCTTTTCATTTTTGGTGTTTTCCATTGGCCAGTTACCTGAACATTATTTTTGCTACTGTTGCATTTTGATAATTAGCACAGTTACAGTGATTAAGTATTTTGTATGGAAGTAAAAATACTACTTTGTTAACATTTTGCTACTTTCATGACATATAATTTCACATTTAGCACTACTTTTTTCAGGCGTTAATTATCTAACATAATTTTACATGCTTTAAAATCATTATTTAAACGTTATAAAAATTGTGTTTGCCCTTTCTAAATAAAGAAAAAATTCATTTCTGAGGCATAATGTGCTTTTTAACTTTCTAATTTTAAACAAGATATGTTTGTAAAACATGTATGCCCCCTATCAGCAGCCAATTAGTCATGTGATAAGGTTATTATGCATGACGTCTGACCCAGTGATCAAACAATTAATAAGGGTTATAAAGTATCTACTGGTCATGACCTTGACCTTTGACCCCTTGACCCAAAACTCAATAGGGGTCATCTGCTGGTCACGACCAATCATCATACAAAGTTTGAAGTTCCTAGGCCTAGGCGTTTTTAGTAAATTGATCAGAAACCGTTTTTACCTACAAGGTCAATGTGACCTTGACCTTTGACCCCTTGACCCCAAAATCAATAGGGGTCATCTGCTGGTCATGACCAATCACCATGCCAAGTTTGAAGTTCTTAGGCCTAAGGGTTCTCTTATTATTGATCGGAAACCGTTTTAACATACAAGGTCAATGTGACCTTGACCTTTGACCCCAAAATCAATAGGGGTCATCTGCTGGTCATGACCAATCACCATGCCAAGTTTGAAGTTTCTAGGCCGAAGCGTTCTTTAGTTATTGATCAGAAACCGTTTTTACTTACAAGGTCATTGTGACCTTGACCTTTGACCCCTTGATCCCAAAATCAATTGGAGTAATCTGCTGGTCATGACAAATCACCATACCAAGTTTGAAGTTCCTAGGCCTAAGCGTTCTTGAGTTATTGATCAGAAACCGTTTTTACTTAAAAGGTCAATGTGACCTTGACCTTTGACCCCAAAATCAATAGGGGTCATCTGCTGGTCATGACCAATCACCATGCCAAGTTTGAAGTTTCTAGGCCGAAGCGTTCTTTAGTTATTGATCAGAAACCGTTTTTACTTACAAGGTCATTGTGACCTTGACCTTTGATCCCTTGATCCCAAAATCAATAGGAGTAATCTGCTGGTCATGACAAATCACCATACCAAGTTTGAAGTTCCTAGGCCTAAGCGTTCTTGAGTTATTGATCAGAAACCGTTTTTACTTAAAAGGTCAATGTGACCTTGACCTTTGACCCCTTCACCTAAAACTCAATAGGGGTCATCTGCTGGTCATGACCAATCATCACACAAAGTTTGAAGTTCCTAGGCCTAAGCGTTTTTAGTTAATTGATCGGAAACCGTTTTTACCTACAAGGTCAATGTGACCTTGACCTTTGACCCCTTGACCCCAAAATCAATAGGTCATCTGCTGGTCATGACCAATCACCATACCAAGTTTGAAGTTCCTAGGCATAAGGGCTCTTAAGTTATTGATCCGAAAGCATTTTTACCTACAAGGTCAATGTGACCTTGACATTTGACCCCTAGACCCCAAAATCAATAGGGGTCATCTACTGATCATGACCAATCACCATCTCAAGTTTGAAGTCCCTAGGCCTAAGGGTTCTTTCATTATTGATCGGAAACCGTTTTTACCTACAAGGTCAATGTGACCCTGACCTTTGACCCCTTAACGCCAAAATCAATAGGGGTCATCTGATTGGTCATAACCAATCACCATACCAAGTTTGAAGTTCCTAGGCCTAAGGGTTCTTTTGTTATTGATCAGAAACCGTTTTTAATTAAAAGGTCAATGTGACCTTGACCTTTGACCCCTTGACCCCAAAATCTATACGGGTCATCTACTGATCATGACCAATCACCATACCAAGTTTGAAGTTCCTAGGCCTTAAGGTTCTTTAGTTATTGATCGGAAAACCGTTTTTACGTACAAGGTCAATGTGACCTTGACCTTTGACCCCTTGACCCCAAAATCAATAGGGGTCATTCTACTGATCATGACCAATCACCATACCAAGTTTAATGTTCCTAAGCCTTAAGGTTCTTTAGGTATTGATCGGAAACCGTTTTTACCTACAAGGTCAATGTGACCTTGACCTTTGACCCCTTGACCCCAAAATCAATAGGGGTCATCTACTGGTCATGACCAATCACCATACCAAGTTTGAAGTTCCTAGGCCTTAAGGTTCTTTAGTTATTGATCGGAAACCGTTTTTGCTTTTAAGGTCAATGTGACCTTGACCTTTGACCCCTTGACCCCAAAATCAATAGGGGTCATCTACTGGTCATGACCAATCACCATACCAAGTTTGAAGTTCCTAGGCCTTAAGGTTCTTTAGTTATTGATCGGAAACCGTTTTTGCTTACAAGGTCAATGTGACCTTGACCTTTGACCCCTTGACCCCAAAATCAATAGGGGTCATCTACTGGTCATGACCAATCACCATAGCAAGTTTGAAGTTCCTAGGCCTAAGGGTTCTTTAGTTATCACTCGGAAACCATTTGGTCTACGGACCGACGGACCGACAAGTGCAAAGCAATATACCCCCTTTTTTTCAAAATGGGGGCATAATAACAATTCAGAGATAATTATATCAGATTCTATAATGAGAATAATGATAACAAGACAAGATATACACAAATCAACATGAAGATACTTGCAAAATGCCAGTTAAAATCTAATACAGTGAGCAGAAATTCTTGAGCTCGCATTTATATGCGACAATTTTTCATTTCAGAAGTTTACATAATTGGTATCTTCAGAGCATACTTTTGGCAAGTGCCCACTGCAGAAACTGATGACATTTACTGTGTAACTTTAAATAAAGATGCTAATCATTAAATGTTCATCTTATGATACAAACCAAGGTCAAGGTCAAGTAAGTGATCTGATACCTTAATTGCTTTTCATCCTTCCATTTAAATGAAATCCAGAAATAAAATGCTGGATGGACACAATTTTCTAAGACTTTATTAAAGTAACCAATTAAAGTAATATATTTTTAAAACAGAATTTCATTGGTATATGTATAATTGGTATATGTATAATTTCATTGGTATATGTGTAATTGTAATCTTTACACAGTAAATGTCATCAGTTAACAAATACCATTATAATTCCAGTTTGACATACCTTCCCTGTGGTACAATGAAGATAGCAAATTTATTTGTCAGTTTGTTGGTGGAGTCTACAATAGTTAGGGTGTATCTAGGTGTGGTCTCCATGTCCCCATACAGGGTCAATGACAACTGCTCCTCCGTTACTTTCCTATAATCATTGTATAATATATGTGTATTAAAACTTCAATGTATATAGCTACTAAAACATAGATATTGATAAATAGGCAATGTTTCATATTGTATCAACAATAAATAAGTAAGAACAGTACATGTCTTGTGTATACTGGCATCTGTTTATATGATATTTTACACGCAACCAGCAAATAATTCCTCTACTGTAATTCTATTTAATTTCTTTTGTGATTACTCTAAACAAAACACCAACTGCTGTTCTTCATAATTAAACAAATAACCAGGCAGGCTTCATTTGTAAAGGGCCATTCAAAGATCTCTACATGAAGTTTTATCAAACCTACAAAATGGTTTGGGAAGAAATATTGTTTTAAACAGGTAACAACAAACAACATAAATCAAATTATCATCAAAGCTTAATTCTGAGCACTTTGCACACAAGTGAGTTAAATAATAATACCATACTTGCCTACTTTTAAGAATAAAGAAATTTAAAAACTTAATTTCAAGAATATATAATTAAAATGACAGACCTTTTAGAGATTCTTTGTCTTATTACAGCAAAATACTGCATTTCTTTCACCAGATTTATAACATCTTCAACACTGCCCAATCTTTCATTCTTATCTTGTTGTGAAAACACCTCTAGAATCTGTAATTATATTATAGTTACATTGTATGTATTGTAAATATCCTCAATAATATCATTAGTAGAAATTATGAATAAAACAAGAACGTGTTTGTTAAACACAAATGCCCCCGGCTCAGATTCTTGTCAGTAGCAATATTTCAAAAAATGTTTACCCATTCACTCAGTTATGGACAGAAAAATTGCCAAAAAATTGTAAACACAAGTTATATAGCTTGACAAAGTCATGGCATTTTGTAATTGTGAAAAATATAAGTTGCCAAGTCATTGCTCTGACTTGTGAAGTTGAAAAATATTCAACTTCATGCAAGTTATCTTCCTACCAAATATGAAATACATCTGTCATTAAATAAAGGCTGTATGGGCAAAAGTGTAAAAATCTATTTTGAGCACTGGTGACCTTAACCAAACTGACCCCTAACTCTATCCAAAAGAAGAATACCATGTAAGTTATCTTCCTACCAAATATGAAATACATATGTCAATAAATAAAGGTTGTATGGGCAAAAGTCTTAAAATCTATTTTTAGCACTGGTGACCTTAACCAAACTGACCCCTAACTCTATCCAAAAGAAGAATACCATGTAAGTTATCTTCCTACCAAATATGAAATACATCTGTCAATAAATAAAAGCTGTATGGGTAAAAGTGTAAAAATCTATTTTTAGCACAAGTGACCTTGACCCACTGATCCCTACCCCAATCAAAAGGATGAATACCATGCAAGTTATCTTCCTACCAAATATAAAATATATCTGTCACTTAATAAAGGCTGTATGACAAATGTGTGTAAAAATCTATTTTTAGCACTGGTGACCTTGACCCAACTGACCACTAACTCCATCAAAGTTTATGTTTCTATCAATTACAAATAACATCTGTCTATAGAATAAGGTCAATACACCTGTAAAAATCTATTTTAACATTGGTGACCTTGACATTGGTAACATTGATCTTGACCCAAATGACCCCTTACTACACCCAAAGAAGGTGGACCTCCCATGGCATGTTTGTATTAAACTAAGACATCAACTAAAATATAAAGGCTGTATGAGAAAAAATGTTTATATTTATTTTTAAAAACAGTGACCTTGACCCTAGAGACTGCTCACTCCACAAAAAATTAGAGGACCATCAAAGGTATCCACCTACTAAATATGAAAGATATCATTAAAGAAATTAAGCAATTAGGAGAAATTTAAGATAAATCCAACTTGCTGAAATAGGTTAACAAGACAAGGCCCTATTTTCAAAGGGAAAAAGGGAAATAACTGGGAAATATGGATGACACAGTTATATAACTTGGCAATATCATGTACTTTGTATTGATAAGTGAGTGTGGAAATTATAAAGCCATTAGTATAGATAGAACTTAAGATATTTCCAACTTGCCGTTTTAGGTTAACCATTATTCATTTTCTAAGTGCTGAAAAGGGCAATAACTTGGTAAATATGAAAGCCAGAGTTATGTAACTTGCCCAGATCATGTACTTTGTATTGATTAGTAAGTGTGTAAACTTAAAAGCCATTGGTACAGGTAGAACTTAAGAAAAATCCAATTTGCCGTTCTAGGTTAACCTCGTACGGACAGACGGATGGACGGTTCAATCACTATATGCCCGGGGGCATAAAAATGAAATATGTTAGATATTCTTCACTGACTACAAATTATAATAATAGGTTAAACAATTTGTTCTGATGCATTGAAAACTAGTTTTGTGAGCACCGCTTCAATTTCTGATATGTAAGTTCAACTACAACAATATTGATTTGATTCACAACTAAAAGTAAACACATAAAAAATGTGAGTTTTAATCCCTCCCTCACTGTCTAGTCTACCATTTTATTTTGTTAGATATGATTGGTTAGTTTAACTTTGTCATCCAAACAGATATTTGCAAAATTGTTGCAGCCCTAATAAAAATACAAATTTCTTATGCATTCTTAGGTAGATAGAAAGTATGCATAGCAAAAAATGTTAATTTATATTTCAATAAGACAGTTTGTAGAGATTTCTCTTAATAAACAAGTGATTTTGTAGAATTGATATTCCAAACTGCATAATACAAATCAATGAAGCTTTGTAGTACATGTATCATATACCTCAGAATAGGAGGGAAAACGAATAAATGGTCTTTGTAAAGCCAACAATATTGAGCAGTATTAAGCAAAACAGCTGTTATAGTTACTGAAACCCGTTTGTGAATATAATCTCATATGGTTATTAACTTAAAGTACCTGTTATAATACTAAGAATTACAGGATTCAGTGAGGCATGCAAATTGATGCTTTAATTATCAAATTCATTGAATCCAATTAAACCAGGAATGAACAAAATTTATTTTGCAATGCTAATTGTGAGAAATACATGAACATATAAGTTGAAGAGAACTTGAAAACTTGCAAAAGCATTTAATGGAATCGTAAATTCTAATACATAACAGTCATATACATGTTTGTGGTAAGTTAAGAAGTTAAGCATACATTTTAAAAGAGATCTACCAGAGTCCTTACCTATGTAATACAAATAGTGGTAATATAAAATATTTGATCAGTTATAAAAATATGACTGCATAGCATGATTCATTTAATTTTCTTCAATGTTACACATATCTCTTTATTTTCATCATAGATATGAATTTTAGTAAATATTTATTATTTTGTTGCTGACAACATCTACTTGTTATAGTAGATATTTAAAAGCCAACAAAAAAGTAAAGTCAGGGGACAGTAAATAGGTTGGTTTAAATTAGAAAAAGCCCAAAGAGTAAAAACTAGTAGATTTTTTTTCTCTCTGGATAAATTAATTTTAACTATTTACTGTGAAACATGCTTAGTAACTAGCCTGAATTCTTTGTTATCACATTTCTTATTGCCATGACTGATACAATATATTAACATGTAAAATATTGTTGTTCTTGTTAGAATATAATAAACTGTATAATAAGACAATATCTACAACTTCTCCACTTGTATTACCTTAGGAAGTTTAGGATTTTTCTTGAACTTGGTAAAGATTAAAGCAAACACTGGCATGTGAAAATCTTTGTCCGAGTTCCCAGATTCTTCAGTATGTATCCGGTGTATTCTCACAGCCCAGCCTCTACACAAAGAAATCATTATTGCAATGTCATACATGTGCCTATGAATTATAACTGAGCAGTTGGCAAAAAGGCTTAACAAACTTTTCCTCATTTGAAGTTACTTATTCTTATTATTATTTTTTGAGGACAAACTTCTAAAAAGCTGCTCTCTGTATTCGACATTTGAAAAAAATACTTACATAAAAAGTATAACAAAGTTTGGATGACAGATGTCATGTTAAAGTATTATTGAATTTTGTTTCAAAATTTCTCAAAGACTTAAGCACCAAAAACTCAATTACTTGTCTTTTCAGAGTTAAGCAAGTACCAGGTAATTATGTGTATATGTTACATTAAAATCAAGACTTCTCAGGAAACATAGTTATATATATATATAATAGCAAGCGTTACTTTTCTGAGAAGAACTGTATAACTTTATCAAGGATATGTTGCTGCAACAATGATATACATATGTAGCGGCCCATCAGTTTTAGTACTCTGTCTATTTCATTAAACATCTGTTCAACATCATGTACAACTTTCTCACTACTATCTACCATCAATGCATCAAGTGTTCCTTTATCTAAGGCTACAGTAAATTCATTGTCTGCAAACTCCATCTAAAATTTGAAACAAAACATAAGTTAACGCTTGAAACAAAAGAAATTTGTTTCACGTGAAGAGCTTTATCCTATGATGTTTCTACAGAAATACCCCATAACTTCAGACATGAAAAATATTTTCATCATTAATATATCCTTGTGAGAACACTATATTAGGACATTTATGTCATTTATATATCATCAAACAATTTATATTTCAGACATTAATCTCTATTATGCTAATTAACAAAATGCAAGAAACATCAGTCAAAGACACATGTATTCAAAAAGCATATCTGTTCTAAACAGTATGAATGTAATCTTAGCTAAAAATTGAAGTTTTTTGTTGTTTCTTTTGGTTGGGTTTTACGTTGCACCAACACAGTCATATGACGTTTTTCCAGCTTTAATGATAGGAAGACTTCAGGTACTCCTCCATGCATGCATTACTGCACCTAAGTAGAACCACCAACATACTGTAAGCTAGCTGAATAGCGTCCTCACATGAAAGAATCCAAAGTCCCTGGCTGGGTTCGAACCTTCAGTGGCGAGGGGGCAAGTATGTATCCATGGAAATATCATCAATCTTAAGTGATTCATGGAATAAACCTTTGAACTGTAAGTGATTTTCCTTTGTCTTCCCTACAGTCTGACCAGGCTGCCTGACCAAATTTTCATCTCAAAAATCAATCTGATTAAAATCTGAACCTAAATAAAGCTACATGTATTCTTTATGCTACATGTAAACAGTTCCAAAAATAAAAGCTGGACGAGTCTATTAAAAACTTGTAAAAAGGTTAAAGGTAAATAAAAAGCATATTATATTCACACTGTTCTGGAATGTTTCTTACATTTAAGACATCCATTTTTAAAAACTTCATATCTGGACGCTGTTGCTGATTTTTATCAACCATCTGTCTAATGACGGTATCACTGATATCTATGTTAACTATGTTATGGTAGCCAACATCATATAGGTCCGCACTGAGTTGAGAATTACCACAACCTACCATCAGCATGTTGTCCTGTGGTTTGATATATTTATGAAGTACTCCACATAGTTCCGGATATTCTCCATACCTGCACAGAAAGATTCTTGTTTATTCAATTCCGTTCAAAATTGTCTTCAAACTAAAAACATATCTATTATTTGGTATCATTTACCAGTTACATGTACTACAAATTTTCAATTAGCAGCAATATCATGAGATAGTGAAATAACACTTATACTGGAGTCATTATTTTCTATTTTCGATCTCAGGGCTGTGATAGATGGATGGATATTCTAGCTTCATACAGGATTTTTTCTTTGATAAACAACCTTATTTCCCACCCAATAAGCAACTTTTTATCCCACAAGTATAGTTTGTAATTGTACTGTACAGTAAAAACATAGACATTCCTCCTGTAATGTCACCAGGTGCATGTGTTTGTTTATACAAATGGATGAACAAGGCTTGGACTATAAATATTCTTGGATGAGGAGAGTTACCAATTTGGGACTGCTGTCCAATGTACTTCTATTATGATATAAGAATAACATAAGGTTTGATGTGTGCTACAACAGTCCTGGACATTTGCCTTCCAGTCTAAAAATGGATCAATAGAAATTTGCCCTCCAAGTGTAAATGTAAAAATGAACATTTGCTCTCCCTGTCAAATGCAGTCCAAAATTTATGTTTCACTAAAAATGCAAAAATTATGCAAAAATTACAATGTATGCATTATTACAGAAATAAATGTATAATTCATACATGTGAACTTTTTCCAATGTTCAAGAGGGAGAATTTACTTCAAAAAGAGGGAGATTTTTTAATTGACAATAGACATTGTAGGAAATTTTGAAATGAAAAAGAGGGAGCTGTCTTTTTTTTTAAACACCCCTTATTCTAGGAAAAATATTTAAAAATTTGACAGGAGAAAGAGGGAGTCTCCCGCTCAAATTGGGAGAGTTCACATGTAATAAATATATAAATTCACATATAAATTCAAACCTAATTGTGCCATTGATATAGTCAGTATACAATGTATCTGTTTATTAAATGCATGTAAGACTGAAATATATTTCACAGAGTGAACACCTGACCTATGTAATATGTTAATAACTGGTGTAGCCAAGAGCAAAAATATAAGAGCTGGTGTTCATGAGTGTAAATTAGTTTGATCTTACATATAAAACAAACAAATTTTCTATCTATTTCATGTTTTTTAAGATGCTTATAATTGTATAAGGTCCATTAAGCCTATACATTGTTACAAAGTATCTTTATAAATCAATATCTACTTCTACTTCTACATTCTTCTGCTTTGAAATCATTTACGATCACTCTAAGCAGGTATACATTGTATACATTAAAGAGACAACTATGAGATACAATTAAGGGAATCCGGGCACCAGTCTCTAGCTCTTATTGAATAGATCCCTTGGTTCTTTTACATGCCCAGTGTATAGCACTGATACATGCGAGGATTATCTGAATTTCTTACCAGTACACCTCTAGGTAGGTGGGAAACACTGAAAGTGTCTCTGAAAAATCCCAAGGGTGTAACCCAGGATCAAACCCGGGACCTCAGGAGTGATAATCAATGGTTTAACCAACTGAGCTATCATGCAACCTATATCTATTACATCAACATTGTGTTGAATACGGTCTCCCTTATCTCAAGATTGACCAAATTTTAACTTACCATTCAAAAGCTTTTGCTCCTCTCTTTTTAAAGAATTCTTCCCAGTATTCTGCTTTCACAAACTCATTGTAGTTTTTTGGCAACAAATTCATTATGAATCTTAAGCAGATAAGGATGTCCTAAAAATAAAAATTAAACCAATGACATGAAATATAAACATTTTTAAAGGAACATGTACATTGTACAGTTGTAATAGGGCAACTTGTCATATTCTGATATTTGTTTATTTTTTGTAAATAAAAATATAAAAAAATCAGTGGCAAAGTTTGTGTCAGTGTTTTTACCTAAATTCTAAGTCTAAGGATTCTTAAAATTACGTCTGCCTTATGATTTAATCGTTTTAATTGAGGTTAAATAATTCATAATAAAAACGCATGATAGGATTTTCTGCTATGGAATCTTTCTAACTTGCACCGTTTTTAGTTTTTGTTGTTTCTAATAGAGGAGAGTACCAGGAAATGTAAAATTTCACTTTAATTTTTAATCTGCATTTGTTTTGTAAAAATCATCTTAATATGGAGTTCTATTTAACTTTGTAGCTAAATTCATGAAATGAAATTGAACTTTGCATTATAAGAACGCTTGAGTTCCGTAGATAAAAAGTGTGTTGTCATGAGAAGTAGAGTAGTATTCGGATGTACAGACACTTAGTCAAAGGAATGGATGGATCGAGCTTAAGCTTATGACTTCATCCTTATTGAGTGCACCCCTTTAAAAACTAATTCCTTTTCCATAGATCTCAACTCATGCACTATTGTTATCCAACAAATCATTAAAATAATATTAAAAAGGCAAAGCCTCAAAGCGAGCTCGATTTTCTTTTAGTTTTACACCTGCACAAAAAAAGCATACAGTGATTAAATGGTTTAAGTTATTACAAAAAAAAACTGTCTGAATACATATTCACCTTTATCTTGTTTATCCACAATTATGTTGCCCTGAATATTCTTATGTTAAAATATTTTTTTTGCTTTATGTCATATTTGACAAATATTGTTGTGTAATATACAATGTATAATGTGCCAAATCCTTCAACATTTCTACAGAACAGCTATGTCCATCTGTTTGCTTAGCAGGTTTCATGTCTGGTCTGTATCTTTTGACGTTTTGCTTGACCTTTCGGCAGAAATATTTCTATAATAAGACACTATGCAGAGCTCATGTTTGAGCTTTATGAGATCAAAATTCATCCACCACAGGGATTACTTAAATTGGAATACATTTACTGCATCCCATATTTAATAAGTGAAGCATACTGTCTCATCTGACAGCTCTTGTTACATTTTGATATTGAAATCCTGAAACTTTGAATGGACTTTTCCAAATTCAAATAAGAGCAAATTTATGCATAACATAAAATCAGCAGATTGATGATTAATTCGTTGAAAAAGTTATATTACATTTAGTACATGTATGTAATTGTACTTTTCAGGATCTAAAATATAACAGTCACTATGGCGATGATGGACAATAAGGAGTTTCTGATATCTCACATCAGGAACTCTTTCATTACAAGTGATGATACTGGAATGTGTGAAATGATTATTGATGTAGATGATCAAGAGCATAGGTAATGTGTTTTTAATACCACTTACAATTGTATGAGGGGTATTTAAATGGCATTGTCCATCTGTGTGTAGCTAGATCAGATTTATGTTAAACAAACAATACATTCATTCTGAGGTTGTTTCTATGAGGTCAAGTTCAAATTTAGGTCATCTAGGGTCAAAAACTAGGTCACAGAGCCCTGTACTAGTAAAACTTGTTAACACTGGAAATTTGTGAGAAAGGTTATTTTTAGGTCAAGTTTTAATGTCATAAGGTAAGAATAGCAATTTACTTAAAATGACATGTAAAGTAATTTTTGTGTTCAATATGTTTTCCAAAACAGAAACATATATTAATCAAACCTATGAATAATATTATCAGTTTGTGGTTTATATCCTATACCAGTTAGTAGGGACCCCTAGTCTTGCATACTTTAACAGACTGTTACCAGTACAACTTTGTTGAAAGAAGTCATACTCAGGTGAGCGATATAGGGCCATCATGGCACTTTGGTAACTCTAGGAAGTTACAGCTGAAGAATTCTTAAAAGTTAGAAAAATTTCATTATTGTAAAGTTTTGTTTATCTTAAATATTTTTTCCTATATAATAATAACATAGCGGTACCTAGTATTATAATTGGTTCAATATATTTTGATTATGCACTGTAAAACATTTATCTAATTTTTACAATGTATGTTTGTAGGGGTGGATTTGCCAGTGATAGTGGATTGGAATCCTCAGATAATGAACTCTCCCATTCATATGATATTCTACCTGATATGGATTATGGTAAAATCTTTTTATCATAGAATCCATCGTTTAATAATCTGTTATTGCTGTTTAACATTGCTTCAGTACTGTAAGAGCACTGCACACATATAAACGTATTTTTGAATTATGCAAGGAACATTAGGTTTGAGCATTAAAATGCTGTTAAAAATAAGTCGCTGTGCCATTTCTGTAGTCTATATTGTAAACAGTCCTATTTTCTATATTGATATACATGTATATTAACTAGGATTGCTCCAGTACAACTTTTATAATATGTTATAGGAGCTCATAGACGAAGGTCTAATACAGCACAGAGATTAGAAAGAATGAAGAAAGAAAAAAGGAACCAGAGTAAAGTGAAGAATATTTCATGGAAAGATAACAACTTGAAATATAATGGTAATATCACCAACTTAAATTATGAAAGCACATTGTAATGACCTTTTCTCGAACACATTGATATAACAGACTTTCAAGACATAAATACTATTTCTAATACATGTAGCTACAATAACTTCATAAGTATTTTTGAGTTATTAGTCAAGGAAACGATCAGTTTTTCATTCTTAATGGCAAGATGTTGTTAAAAGAAAGTTTCTTCAGGGCATTATTCAGTTATGGTAATCCTTTTTTTATGTTTAAACTATAATCTATTGGAACTGAAAGTGATAGGCCTGTGTCACCAGTATAGAGTCAGGCAGAGACATAGATATGTCTCTGAGTCAGGCTAGCCTGTAGGTCTGTGCAGTCTGACTAGGCTCTATACTGTTGATAGCTCAACTTTTGTTTGTTGATATTGAATTTGCATAAGCTTTGAACTGACTGTTCCAATTACACAAATTCAGCAGATTCAGGGCTTGACATGTGATACCAGTGACTTTAAAATGATAAAAGCTGGTCTCTTGTTTAGTGCTCTTTATTTTCAAAATTGTTCTGCGGCCTATTACATTTAATTCTAGTAAAAATAGAAATGTACATGTATATTGTATTATTTATTCAGCTGAAGAAAAGGGTCATTTATTTGAGAAGAAAGTTGTCATACCATCTGAACAACCAGACACTCCACTTATCTCCAGATTGTCTGAACAATTAGACAGTAGTGCCAGTTTAGGAGAAAACCCATTCTTAGAATTTGCCAAGTTTGATGGAAAGGTACAAGTTTATTACTCATTACTCATTATTTATCTATATAATTGCAACTGAAGTTTTATGCTTGCTTTAATTGAATGATTATTCATGTTGCACTTGATGGTGACTGTTGTACCTGGTGATAACTTTTTAAATAAATGTAGTATTTGGTATTGCTGATATAAAACACAATCAAACTGAACAAACCAGATAGAAAACTTCAACTTAAAATATCGGATACATGTATACAGCATTATGTTATTTAAAAACAAATCAATTTCAATGCAGGCAAGTGTAGGGGTTTCAACGAAGAAGATAGATATTTTTCTGACAATGGTCCCACCAGAAGACCGGCCATACCCAATGACTGTAGTTGTCATAGCAACAGCTAAGATACAGGATTTGATTGGCTTGATATGCTGGCAATATACTATAGAAATGAGAGAGCCTCCACTACAGTGAGTAACTTTATAGTTTTATATGTTGGCAATATACTATAGAAATGAGAGAGCCTCCACTACAGTGAGTAACTTTATAGTTTTATATGTTGGCAATATACTATAGAAATGAGAGAGCCTCCACTACAGTGAGTAACTTTATAGTTTTATATGTTGGCAATATACTATAGAAATGAGAGAACCTCCACTACAGTGAGTAACTTTATAGTTTGATATGTTGGCAATATACTATAGAAATGAGAGAACCTCCACTACAGTGAGTAACTTTATAGTTTGATATGTTGGCAATATACTATAGAAATGAGAGAACATCCACTACAGTGAGTAACTTTATAGTTTGATATGTTGGCAATATACTATAGAAATGAGAGAACCTCCACTACAGTGAGTAACTTTATAGTTTGATATGTTGGCAATATACTATAGAAATGAGAGAACATCCACTACAGTGAGTAACTTTATAGTTTGATATGTTGGCAATATGCTATAGAAATGAGAGAACCTCCACTACAGTGAGTAACTTTATAGTTTGATATGTTGGCAATATGCTATAGAAATGAGAGAACATCCACTACAGTGAGTAACTTTATAGTTTGATATGTTGGCAATATACTATAGAAATGAGAGAACATCCACTACAGTGAGTAACTTTATAGTTTGATATGTTGGCAATATGCAATAAAGATGAGAAGAGCCCTCATCATGGCTGTAAATTTCAATTCAAATAATTATGTAAATGTATCTTCTAATATAAAAGCAAATTTTAAACATATAAGAAAAGAACTTTTAGATGTATCTTAATTTTGAATATATTTTAGCCAGATCATTTACACAATGTTTATGAATTTTGAACCTATTTATGTATAAATATTGAAATCTAAGCCATTTTCTGACTTAATATTTTGTAAAATACATTGAAAAACGTTTAAGTAAAGGCTAATTATTAAGAAAGACAATATCTGTGAACTTAGTACACATTTCAGAGGAATATTCAATTCAATATTTACAAGGTTTCAGATCATTTAAGGTAATTTTGGACATATTTTCTTTGGCCATATTTTGGGAAGCATCTAAGTGAATTTTGATAATATTTTAGGGAGAACATAGATGTATATTGTTTACACATTGCTGAAGATGATGGTGAGGTTGACACAGATTTTCCAAGTTTAGATAGTAAAGAACCAGTGTCAAAGTTTGGCTTCACAAAGCTTGCATTAGTACAGAAAGATGTTCCTACAAGTTCCAACAAACCCTCTATCATAGTGACTGTGTAAGTGCTTACATTTTTAATGTGTATAATACTCAGATATGAAAAGAAACTGCAAGCTTATTTTGTCCCCCTCCAGGTCTGTTTTTTAATGCCACATGTTTTCTAATGACACATGTTTTTTAATGTCACATGTTTTCTCATGTCACATGTTTATTAATGACACATGTATTCTAATGCCACATGTTTTCTAATGACACATGTTTTTTGATGGCACATGTTTTCTTATGACATGTGTTTTCTAATGACACATGTTTTTTTGATGGCACATGTTTTCTAATGACACGTGTTTTCTAATTTCACCTGTTTTTAATGTCACATGTTTTCTTATGTCACATGTTTATTAATGACACATGTTTTCTAATGGCACATGTTTTCTAATGACACATGTTTTTTTGATGGCACATGTTTTCTAATGACACATGTTTATGATGGCACATGTTTTCTAATGACACATGTTTTCTTATGACACATGTTTATTAATGACACATGTTTTCTAATGTTTTTTGATGGCACATGTTTTCTAATGACACATGTTTATGATGGCACATGTTTTCTAATGACACATGTTTTCTTATGACACATGTTTATTAATGACACATGTTTTCTAATGTCATATGTTTTCTAATGGCACATGTTTTCTTATGGCACATGTTTTCTAATGGCACATGTTTTCTAATGGCACATGTTTTCTGATGACACATGTTTTCTAATGACACATGTTTTCTAATGACGCATGGCACATGTTTTCTAATAACAAATGTTTTCTAATGGCACATGTTTTCTAATATCACATGTTTTCTAATGACACATGTTTTCTAATGGCATATGTTTTCTAATGTAACATTTTAGAATGTCACATGGAAACATTGTCATAACCCCAGTAATGCTGCACCTTTGACTCCATTATTTCGAAAAAAAACGCAACAATTAGCCATCATGATATGCTGTTTTGTGGGTTAATTACATGTGCATACATGTAAACATGTAACACCTGCACATTCATTGTACCATGAACAACTTGTATGTATGGGTATCTGGTGTAAGTTTCTAAATTCTAGCAGATAAAAGCCTTCCTTGACTTAAATACTCATTAGCAGCTATTGGTTTTCTTGTCCCATACTCAAATTAGGATTGGATAGTTTGTTAAATTAGCATTTATATTTCAGTGTCTCAGTAGTTTTGCTTGTATCCATAAATGTATTCTGAAGGGTGTTATCTTTTTGCATTTTATCTTAACTACATGTAGCTCAAAATTTAAATTTAAAATGTCATGTAGTTTTTTGCTTTTATTTAAAATACTAACATATTCACTATTTACTACAGAAATGTTCCTCATAGAGGTTTTAACAAGTTTCAAATTGACAGTCTCAACATTTCTATGAGAGATATACTGGAGAAAGTTCTAAAACGAAGGAAAATTAAAGTTCGACCAGGTATGCAGTTATATTTAACTTTAAATCAAATTGATACCAATTAACATCTTATATCAAGTGTTTTTTATTTTGGCACAATCAGTACTTGTATTGACTAACACTAGTGATTTATAAAGAAACACAGTAATGACATGCAGGGCTCATGCTAAAATTTTCTCATTTAAGAGGCAACCATTTGGGGCTCACTCTGCCACTAGCCATTTTAGTCATTTGTTTAAATTTTATAAGTTTGGCTACAAGAATTATAATTTGGCAACAGGATCACTTACCCATGTTAAGCTATATGATAAACCTCAGAAAATATCATAAAATTTTGCTAAAAGAAATTTTCAACGCCAGTCCTATGTAAAATCTTACCTCGCATAGTTAAGAAATCAAGATATTTAAGCCAGTTAAGTTATAAAAATTAATTGTCTTGCTGATTTATTTGACCATGCCTCATTGGTGATCCTAAATACAGCCTTTCACACTTCCTTGAGGAACATTTTGTTTTCATTTTCACCAATGTGAGTATGAAAGATCAAAATACACACAAATGTATCTCAAAATTATTTAGACATGTAAACATATATCTCAAACTTATTTAGACATGTATAATGATAATAGAAGTATATTATAGGTCAGTCATACAACCTGGAGAAACAAGTAGAGCCTGGTTTACCTGTAGATCTTGATGCTAATCTCTCTAGCATGGATACATTAGAGTTCTGTCTTGTCAGGGAACATAGTAAGTCACAAATATTATATAATTAATTCATGAAGATCTATAAAAGTTGAAGTTAAATAAGGGAAGTTTTATTCTTCTAAAGGAAGTTTGATTCTTGTGGTCCTTAAGGATCATTGATTTGAGCACTGTTTAGTGTTGAAAAATGAGTACGGCTCAAGTCGGTGAGAGGGATGTTTTTTTTTCATTATCCCTCATAGACAGAATCAGAGTCTGCAATTTCCATGTAATTTTGTGATTAATGCTTCTGTAAGATCACACTTTATACAGATTTTGTATTGTATAGATAATTTTGATCTTTATATAAGTTGCAGTTTTCATAGTTGTACTTACATCTTTAGTTTGATATTTAATGTTATATTTCAAATGCAGACACTATAATTTGACAATGGAAGATTAAAACTAGTTAAAAAATACAGAATGATAATCTTTGGCACTTATATTTGAGCTGTGTCATGACATAACCAACATAATGTGTTTGCAACCAGCATGGATCCAGACCAGCCTGCGCATCCGCGTAGTCTGATCAGGATCCATGCTGTTCGCTATCAGTTTCTCTACTTGTTATAGAGTTTGTAAGCGAACAGCATGGAACCTGATCAGGCTGGTCTGGATCTATGCTGGTCGCAAACCCATTATGTTGGTTTTGTCATGACGCGGCTCATTTCATGCTGAAATTTTGTATGTCAGGTTCCCGTGGAGATTATATAGAAGTTGATGACGGCAAGACGTCTAATCTAGCGGAATCTCTGACAAGCCACCAGTATAAATCTTATATTGTAAACATGATACATAAAATCAGAACAAAAACAGAAGTTCAACTTGGTAAGTTTGTGTGGGAACAATTTTTTCAAGCCCCCACTTGTGTTTTACTAGAGAGGACTTTAGGTTTGTTCTCTGTCTGTTCACACTAACTTATGCGGCTTCAGGTATACTAGGTTAATCTTCTTAGAAGTCCTTGTGTCATTTTCCACTAATCTTAAATTAAGCTGTTAATACTGTTGTTTATCTTTACACATACTGTACACACATAAATGTAAGTTACCAAACAGTAATTGGGTTGTAGGCAATACTCCATCCTTGTTTAATACACGTAACAATTATTGTTCATTAAAATAGATTTCAAACAGTATTCAAATGATGATCAGAGTTATTAAACATATGAATATGTCATAATACAATGTATTTTGATGCATTTTACTTCTTACATGAACTGCTATGGCGCTATTGTGCTAATATAACTTAATGCTGTTTTTGGTAACTATAGTGACCTGTTTTTCTTATAATAACTGAAAATTATGAATTTTAGTTGTAGGAACTATGATTTATCTCAATTATCATTAAAATTACATGAACTTTCTTTCTAAGAGTTTGTGTATTCAATTTTCAAAAACTATTTATAAAGTTAAACATTATTTTTAATTGTAATGGTTTTTTTGGAATGTTATATTCTGAATGTGTATGCATGTATTTTATTGTATAATTCAGTGTGTATGCAGGTATTTTATTGTATAATTCATTGTGTGTTCAGGTATTTTATTGTATAATTCAATGTGTGTTGCAGGTATTTTATTGTATAATTCAATGTGTGTGCAGGTATTTTATTGTATAATTCAATGTGTGTGCAGGTATTTTATTGTATAATTCAATGTGTGTGCAGGTATTTTATTGTATAATTCAATGTGTATTCAGGTATTTTATTGTATAATTCAATGTGTGTTGCAGGTATAAGTGGAGAGAAGGTAGAGATAGATCCAGTGGCCAGTAAAAGTGGTACAAAACTGTTTCGACAGAAACCAGTAACATATGAAGCTGATAGTATAGCGTCATGTGATATGATTGAGGAGAAAGATGGAGGTAATTATTTACTTTATATTAACTGGTAATAATATTTACTTTTTAATGAAAAACTGTAAAGTGAGGCAAAACATAGAAACAGGCAAATGATTTGAGAGTTTGAAATCATATGTTCCATATTCAAATTAATAAGGTCCATTTATGTGCTTATTTTTATTTTATTATATTTTAATTTGTTTTAGGAACAAACCACACTTTATTTATTACTCCTAATGATCATAGTTCCTAATTTTCTTTGATACGATATCATATTTGTTTATATATTGTAAGTTTAAAAGATAAACATAATGTATTAATCATTTGTTTGCAGGTAAATCTGTGTTCCGGCTGACATATTTTGGACATGACTACAAACACCATGATTTTGAGGGGGACTCTGAAATGTGCAAGGAAATAGTTCATAAAATGAACAACATACTTGAACTACGACTAAGTCCAGTCAGAAAAGATTATGTCGCACAAAGAGACAAAAAACTTAAAAAGAGAGAATCTTTTCATAAAACATAGGTTATGAAATATATTTGTCAACAAAAGTACTGGAAAATTTGTTTCCAAACAAGCTTTGCTGAAAAGAAATAAGTAATATGAAATTCAAAAGTTAACTTAACATTTAACCTTCTGGACTCAAATTTGATTAATCTTTGCCACCAGTATAGAGCCAGGCCAGTCTTCACATCCATGTAGTCTGACCAGGCTCTGTACTGTTGGCTTAATTTAAAGTTTCATCCTTATATCCCCAGTATTGATAATGAACATTCCAAAAAAATTGAAGTTGGGTGAGTCCATTTAAGAAAATCTGTAGATTCAGGCAGGTTAATGTACAAGGAATATAAGACTTATTTATACCATGTGAAATAACAATGTGATTTTTTAGAAGATCTGCTTTACTGGAATAAAACATTTAAACATGGTTGAAGAATTTTAAAAAATGTATGTGAATGTATTTGTAATTTATATAGATATCTGTGTGAACTAGTAAATCAAAGGATATTTGTTATAGATTTGATTGTGAAGAATTGTTAAGGATTTCACACGATAATAAAACATGAAACACATATTTTCAATAAAGTTGTTGTATAAACCACATGTTTTTCCAAGTATTTTGCCACATGACAACAGACATTCGTGTTAAATATGTTAACATTAAATTTATAATGCCTCTTTTGTGCTCCATAGAATAAGCTGCAAATCTTTTCATTGACATACTATGTTTATACACAATAAATTGAGTAAATGTTGATCTCCGCAGGATAGCCAGTGAGAAGCAGACATCTCTTGTTGGTTAGGAATTATTAATATTTGGCAGTTAACTCATCATAGGATTCTTTTAGAATTCTTTATAATTGAAAATTGTGATACTGGATGGAGACTATTGTGGGATGTTAGCCAAATTTGGATATGTATTAGATCACTTGTAAAACATTATACAGATTGTGGTAAAGGTAGTATACTGATGTGTCACTTGTAATGAACTCCCGTGAATTATCTAATACATGTACAAGAACCTTACAAGGCAAGGAAGCAATGAGTGCAATCCATTTCAGTAAAATACAGTTTCTATGATAAAAAATTCGAAACAAAAAGGTTAAGGTACTCCTATCTTGATTTTTTTCTTCCCTGTATTTAAACATTCAATTTAACATATTGCCATTGTATCAGCAAAAAAATTCAACATCACACTTGTAAACAATACAGAATTTGTTTGTCTAATTGTTTTTGTAAATGCGATACATGTCAATATAGTAAAATGTGTACAGGTATATAAAGAAGAAATACATAATGGTTGTATATCTATTTCACTGCAAAACAAAGTTGTTTTTTAATTTATTTTAGAAATACTGGTATTAAAGTTTTAATGCCTATGAGCTCTCATTTTTGTCCAGACCATTTCTTAGCAGCTACTAAATAAAATCTATCAGTAAATGTAATGACAGAAATTGTTTAAAATATGCCACAGCAAATGAAGTAGGGGAGAAGAGTCTTATGGACACACTTATAGTTTATTACCAGCATTGGGACAAAAAAAAATGATTCAAGACATAGAAAGCTTCTCTACAAATAGAAGCTGTGCTTATTTTTGGTGGCATGTTCTGGTTAAATGATATTTGCCATTTAATATTTTGTGGATTGTCTGAACAATATTTTCAATAGCAAGACTTTTCAGGAGCTTCACTACCAAGATCTGTATATATACAGCATATTTCAGGTATTTTTTTCATTTTTATAATATTTACAATGATAAAATACAATGAGAAAATTTACTGTGTGCAGGAGCCATAACTAGTTTACTTTTTGAATTATCTCCTTCATGAATACTTATGTCATGAATGCAGCACAAACATAATTTGAAAATTTTTTGCTTGTTATCGAAAACAAATTTTTGAATGTTATTTTGCCTTGCCAATGCTTGAATGGATCAGTTATGATCTTTTAACAGCGAGACACTTTCTGGCATCTTTGTAAAGCGAATAAGACTACGGATTTACATTACAATATAATATGTAATATAAATCCGTGATCAGACTTATGTGGGCTGTTTTTATGGCAGTCAGAAAATGGAAGATTATTTGTACTATAACAATTTAACACAAAGTAAATGTAGCCTCTTCCTTAAACATGATAAATTAGTGATTTGACAAAACATTTTTTTTCCGGGAAAATGTGCACTTTTCGGATTTTGATCAAGAACCTATTCTTTCGTAGTGTGGCCGTTTTACATTATTACAATCAAACTAACCATGAATTGGCACCGGCCACGTCAAAACAAAAAGTAAACAGTTAAATATGATTGATATGCCAACTATTTCGTAAATAATTTACAAACGACATACAGAATGGTGTTAATGACAATGATAGCCCGTGTAGCGGATGGCTTGCCGCTTGCTGCCTCCGTACAGGAAGACGAACAGGTTTGCATTAATCTCAATTTTTGATAAACCGAAATAATTTGGGGAAAGAAATCAAACTTTGGGACGCTTCGAACCATGATATGAATACTTCAGACTAAATTTTATTTGGACACTTGAAACCAGATTTTAAATAGTTTGGATTATACATTGATTATATTTATGTCACAAATTAATTAATATTCGTCCCAAAGACGATTCGCCACACTTTAAAACATCAAATTTTATATCATCAATATATAACACATTATTAAATAAAATTTACCAATACACTATTGGTAAGTGTAGAACAAATTAAAATGACATTTGTAGTTATTTGTAAGAAGAAAAAGTGGTCTTTTAAGTGACAACCATTTTACTCATTTGATAATAGGAAGTGGCTGCCCGTACGGCTAGCCAAAAGTTCTAGCCGTACGTGAGTCACGTACGACTAGCCAGGACACGCTGCATTGGCTAGCCGTACGGCACTTTTCAGAATTATATGGTAGTCGAAAGAAAGTATAAGAATACAGTATATATTTTTGTCATCTCAAGACGTCGAGAAAAAATAGGGTTTGGTTGCAGTTAAATAACATTTATTGAAATAGTTTACAAAACGTTTAAATTTTGTTTTGTTTCATTTAGTTTAATTTTCAAATTAAAAAAAAAAACGCCGAAAATAATTGTTGCTGGGCTCTGATAATTGCGTCAATTACCGACGGTATAGAAGTTTGTCCATCATTAAGGAAAATTTGTCTTAATACACTTGTTATTATATATAGTAACAAAATTGCCTATGATTTCAACTGATTATGAGTGTCACGTGACCTATTATGAGTTTGCGGCCCAGGGCCGAGAACTAGTTATCAGCCCGCAGAACATGTGCACGTGCACAAACTGAAACAATTTTTTTTTTTTTTTTTTTTAAATGCTACTATTAGATCTACCAAGTGTATTAAAGACATAATTAAACGTCAGAGTAGGGCCGGAAGGTGATAATCGGCCCTGAATGAATAATGCCCTCGGGTCCATTATTCATTTTGCGGGCCGATAATCACCTTCCGGCCCTCTCCTGCCATGTATTAACCTCTTATTAATTGAGGCTTATTAATTGATATTGAGCTTTTATGTTCGAAATTTGAAATTATCTATACTGTATTTGAAAATTATTAAATAATTTTTTCTTTTCACCGTTTTTTTTTCAGTATTCTTTTTATTTAATTATTTATTCCCATCCGATCATTATTTATTCGATCGATGTGCTTAATTAACAAAAATGATTTAACAATTCATCTTTCATGCAAATAAAACAACAAATCATAAGCATGAAAATCAAGTACGTTATATATCAACTTATAACATACAACTTTGACACTTTTATCAAAATAAATTATACAACGCTTGTTCGTATTCTTTTTTTTTTTTTACAAAATCCTCGTTTAAAGGCACAAAATAACATATGCATTTTCGACTTCCATATAATTTTGAAAAGTGCCGTACGGCTAGCCAATACAGTGTGTCCTGGCTAGTCGTACGTGACTCACGTACGGCTAGAACTTTTGGCTAGCCGTACGGGCCCGTACGGCTAGCCACTTCCTTGATAATATTATGTACCTATCAAGTTTTCATTTAGCTGCCGAGCATTCTTTAAATAGGACACTGGACACTCAAACGGTAATTTTTTACTGTAATTTCATTAGACATGACAAATGTCTGTAATTGAAACTGTTGCATTATCAGCTGATAAAAATTAGCCCAAGTTCAGTGTCAAGCTGCCCAATTTAAGTGATCATGAAATCACATTTGAATTATTATTTTCTTTCAAAACTGTTTTGGATAGGCTGGAAGAAGTATGATGGAGTTTCAAAACCAAGCAAAACAGTTATTTCGGAAGATCTCTGCTGATCCTCAACCCCCTGCAAGATGTAGCCTAGAGTCGGGACCATATATTTTTCAGTAAGTCACTACTGTCATATAGCTGTGATCATGTTATAAATTATACAGTCTTTAAACAAATGTATATACAAATTTGCATTTAAAGGTACATGTGTACCCTGGTCATTCCACTGAGGACTGAAGATATTTTTTTGAGATTTATACCATTGTCTTTTTTGTACAAATAATTTGCGCAAATTTTCAGATCATTTGCTCACACTCATTTTCTGGAATAATCACTTTTATTGTGCAAATATTTTTGAAATTAAATGCATTAATGATTTCAACGCTTTAAAGTAATATCTGGCCATGAAAGAAAGTTATGAAATAGATCTTCATGGATCGGAATCCGTTCTAGCCGTAAATGACTAAGTGCATAATTCTATCAATTAGTAAAGACAAAGATAGCCAATTTATAAATAATTTTCATTTATTCTAAGTGTTAAAATTAACTTTATATTTATCAGCTTGAAAAACAAAACAAATTTGGATACATGTATGCATGTAAAATAAAAAAATCAGCCTTATTTCCACCTTAAAATGACCCCAAAATGAAAACTCTTCACTTAATGTGTAAAACTTAAATAGATTAAATGAAGAGATCAAGTCACTAAACATACTGAAGTAAATAAGTACACACAATTTTATTGAAAGTATTTTTTGTATATTTCAGTTTAGATTATTTACATATTTCTTTCAGTTACTACATAGAAAGAGGAGTCTGTTATTTAGTGCTGTGTGATAAAACATTCTCAAAGAGACTTGCATATTCATTTCTTGAGGATCTTCAAACAGAATTTACATCAAATTTTGGATTTAAAGTTGAAACAGTGTCAAGGCCGTACAGTTTTATAGAATTTGGTATGGGTTTTCTTCAGGAAATTTAATGATTGTATTACCTTAATTTTCTGTACATATTATATATATTAAGAAACAACAACAACAACAACTCTTTTAAACATCATTGTAGTTTTGACCATATAGGGGTTTTAAAAAGGTAGAGGGAAGAGAAAAAAATCATATTTGATAAAATGATAATTAAAAAATTTGACCCTTCTACCTTAAATTCTACAGAAAGAATTTGCTGTAAATTAGTATTTTTATAAAAAAAATTGATAGGTTAAGTGCAGAAAATTTTTCAACAACAATAAATTTTATACTTGTTTTTAAGTCCTTTAAAGTGTAGATAATTTCAAAGCAGGATGTTTTACTCTATATTAATCTTATTGTATATTGTTATAGACACATATATACAGAAAGTTAGAAAGAACTACATGGATTCTAGAGCAAGGAAGAATTTGACTTCTATAAATACAGAGTTACATGATGTACAGAGAATTATGGTACAGAATATAGATGATGTATTACAGCGAGGAGACTCTCTCTCAGGTATCTACAGCTTATATATTGTACATCTTAACAAAAAAATACATTTTGAAATTAATGATTTTCCTTGTTTATATTTTTTTTTCATATTCATGAGCACTTAGGTGAGCTATTCCAAGAAATGGCTGTCTGTCATTTGTCCATCCTCCAAAATTAGTTTGTTTGCAAATAGCAGCTCCAGTTTTTCCAATTTAATGTTCATTTAGACTTGCAGTACAGTTTTGGATGTGAAATTGAAATGTGACCTTGAATATGGCCCTGTGTGATCTACATCTGCAGTCAAGGCAATTTTTGATGAGCAGTCAAGGGTCATGTGCTGATGTGCAGTCCAGGGCTATGTTCTGAGAGTCAAAATGCCACTATTATTTCTTTGTATTTTTAGAGCACTGTTCATATAAAAGTTTTGCAGTACAAGATCTTACTTCTGTGTCAAATGATGAAAATATGCATATTACTATTCACATACTTTGTGTTGAAAATACAACTCACTTTAATTGTGTAAAATTACATTTAATACTGTCTTGTACTCTTCAGATATATTTTAAGCTCATGTCACTAAATGTTCTGAACTATTTTTGGTTTGGACATAAATAGTATAGGTATATTTGTAGAGGAACAGCAGGATCAAAATGTTGTGAAGAACAAGATCTTATTTTCCTTACAAATGATGAATATACATACATGTATTTTGTATGTTCAGTTGAAAATACAATGTACTTTAATTGTGTAAAATACGCATGTTAATTTTTGGTTTATGTCAGAAGTACAATTTACATCAATTGTTATTTATAGTTGTTGTTTTTTCTTGTTTCTATTTAGTATTGGACACTAAGGCCAGCAATCTGTCAACGTTGTCTTCGAAGTACAAGAAGGACGCGAAGTATTTAAATTTACGAGCATCATACGCTAAAATAGCAGCAATAGTGGCTGTGGTAGTTGTGTTCCTTCTCTTTATTCGTTACTGGATTTTATGAAGAGCTATAGAATAGACAAAACTCTATCATAACTGTGTCATAAATATAGATCAGTGACAAACATTTTAAGTTTTCCCTCGCTTTACATTTTAGTGTTCAGTACACTTTTGTTAATAGTTTTGTCTGTGGACACCTGTATTAGATTGTCTATATAGATCCACATATTTCTTAAATTTAAGATGTTAATTAATGTTGCCATTGTTCTTATATCTATAAAAAAAGTGCTGGCATGTAATATAACATGATATATGTATTATGTTATCATTGACTTGTACTACTTATATAAATGTTATAATTTTATGCTTTAATTCATTATTTGTCAAATGAAGTTAAAAATAGGAAATACTTGAGTAATTTTTGCTTTGGGAGAAATGTAATTTTTTTAATCAAAGTTGTTTGTTTCATCAATTTATTTTCAGTTTATGTATATTTTATCAAATAACTAGAATTGATTCCATGCATAGCCGTTATCTTTAATAAACCATAGATATTGATCATACAACCAAACACTATCATTCCTTGTTAGATCTATAGAATTTACATGTGTATTTGTATAATGGATTAGCCCAACTTTGAATTTGGAACAGTCCATTAAAAGTGTAAGGAATTTAATTAATTATAAAAACAACAAAGATATACCAACAGTATGGATTATGGTCTGATTGCACAGGTTGGCCAGGCTCTATAATTGGGGCAAAGGCTGATCACTCTCCATTCAAGAAGGATATAATAAAGAAAATTAGAATCAAACACTTTTCATTTTTTTCTAGTCAAACCCATATAAAACAAGGGTAAATGTTAAATTTCATTGATACTTGGTCGGGTGTTGAAGTGGTTTTCTTTTTAATTTTTTCAGTATTAAAGGCCAATGATACATTTATTATAGATTTTTGTTTAAATGCTACATGTACTGTTACTTCATTTTTTTTTCTTCTAATTTCTGTTATTATCTTGTCATTTTGTCTCTTGTTTATTCTATGGACTGGTTTTAAACTTAATAACATTACAATTTTACCTAAACCGCTTATAATAAAACAGTTCATATTTCCGTTTAAATACAACAGTTGTATGTAATTACTGTATTTACATGTATGTTGAAGTGTTTAAACTAACTGATAATAAACATAATGAATGATGTATAGGGACCTGTATTATTGCAATACATGTATACAAGTCATTTTTAACTCTACTTGATCAATTCATGTGATGGCAACCCTATTTTTGAATTTGCGTAAACATAGGTAAATATTTCAAACAAGGCAATTTCCAAATACTTAACTATTTACCTATGATTGAGGGGAATCATAGGTGTATAAATATTGGGGGTGTGGGGGGAGGCGAATCAGAAATCATTAAAAAATTAGGATCATATTTCAGTCTATAAATTATGTATGTAATTAATGTAAGTGACACATATTGCAGTTAAATGGTATAAAATCCTTTAAAACATAATGTTTATATCCAGCAAAATTTATATCTTGTGAAGACTTTCCATTAGCAAATGAACATCCACAACAAAGTTTGTTTTTTCCCCATATTTAACTACACTCAGAACAACTTGACTTTTATACACTGCTACATGTAAATATTGCTCTATAGTAAAGCTGCAAACTGGTAAACATGTAGATATTGTAATTCTGATACTTTGCTGTATTCCAGTACTTCAAGTGCTGTATCTTTCTTAATTTGACTTTGGTGATGGTTGTATTTTTTTTAAAGAACTATTGATTTGTTAAGATCAGATCTTGCAAATACTACTTTCTTTCATTTATTTCTCTGTCTAAGAAGTTTGCTTCAAACATTTGAGGTATATATGATTAAGTTTTTTTTTAATTGAGAATTGTTCTTCAGAAACTGTAGGAATGATAATTCTTCTTTGAAATAGATATATTCATTTTGGCTATACTTGTAGTACATATACTTTGGTTTCGGTAACTCTCTATAAGTTTTCATCACAGTATGTTTAAATCCTAAAATGTAGTTAATACATTGTGTTTGTAAACTTGTTGGCTACTTTTGTGAGTGATACTGGTTACATATATTTGTTGGCTACTTTAAGTGATACTGCATTTTAATAAAACTGTAAGACATACAACCAGGTTAGACAAAGATTTGTATGTTTACACATGAAATTGAACATTAGCAATATTAAACTGGTTTTCTTCATTTGAAGTATACAAGAATCGCATACGAGTATATATGTATGGAACTGTTAAAGATGACAGTAAGTGCTCTGTATAGAAGAGATTATATCTATGGATACATTCTCGTCCTATGTCAACCTAAAAATGTAACATAACAATAAACATTATTATCTCGTGTTGTTTATGTACTATTTACATGCAAATATTTATTTGAAAAATAAAGGAATTATGAGATTTATGTTATTTATATTTCTTATATTATATACTCAATTGTGTTTATGTAATAATTTATAAAATTGGGATTGCGTAAAATGATTACCAAAGTAATATTTTTATTCTTTTATTATGTATTTAGAATCTACATTGGATTGATTAGTTTTAAGTACATTTGTAACTAGAGTTGGTTAGATTTAACGAAGTTTGGCCTCTACCCAGGGTAAATTAAACCTCTATTTACACAACTTAGTTCTGGTAGATCATTACCAAATTTTAAGTACATCATCCCACTATTTGTTCATAAAATGCATAAGAAAATTGGGGATTGGGCGTTGGATCGAAACTGAAATACAAGGACCTAATTTGAAAATAAATGCGCTTTAAATAACTGTGAATAAACTAGCAAACTATGTATACTGTCTTTTGAAATGTATTTACAACAGTTTTAATTCTTGGCAAATTAAAAAAAAACCCATACACATTGCCTTTCTATTAAGTAATGGTGAGATAATGAAACGACTTTCCTTATAGCATCTAATAAATCAAATAACTAAAAAAACCCCTTACTATTTACATATGGCAATCCAAGCAAACAGTTGAATCTTTTGACTAATCCATCACCTATTTTGGTATTTTTGTATCACGATTACATTCTCTATGCTTCGTATCAAGTTTTCTATGTTTTGTATTGTAGACATGTGCTCACTGGTCTCTATCTTTTGTATCTTGAACATGTTCTCATTGGATACTTTTTCATCAAGTTTGTGAACAAAAAAAAAACGCATGTTTTTTCAACAAACATTCACCTGGTGTTCTTTTAACAACAAGCTCAGAGATCCACGCTTATTTCCATGATAAATAATTTAAATGAAATATCAAAGCTATTTTTATCTACAGGCACGAATAACTAAATCAAAAGATGCACAAGTATACCCCCTTATTCTGTTACTATCAGGATAGAAATGTATATAACTGAAAAGAGTTGTAAGGAATGTGCATATTAATGGCATTTCATTATTCTAAAGTTTCATTTTTGTTTACACTTTGTTCGCTCATCTGGTATTATTCTGTTATTTTATTTCGCTGTTAATATGTAAAGTCACATCAAACTCATACAGCAGCAAATACAATGTATGTATCTCCATTTTAGCGACGGTAAATCTTAGAGTACATTGTATCAGGAAAGCACGACAGACATAGGCAAAAATTTACTGTAAAGGTGCTCAAAACTACTTATGATTTAAATTGGTTATCATCAGCATGTATTCGCAAGTCATAAAGCTACCTTTCATAATGATTCGTATGCAGGGTCGGGTATGCCGTTCGTTTTCTAAACGTTAATCGTTTGTTATCAGCCACTTTCACACGTCATGAAATTCGCAATGGAATAGCTACAATACGTACAATTAAGTTCCCAAAAAAAACCCGCATAAATACAAGTACCACCGACTATAATTAATAACGTAATGGTGACGAAATCTCTTCAAGTCTTAATATTGTCTGGCAGCAAGAGATGGCGTCGGGGTTTTCCGCTTAAGTGTGAGGAGGTCTGAAAGGCAAATCGAAAAATTTTAAAACCAAATAAAATTTTAAAAAAGACAAAAGTTCTTTCAACAAAGAATGACCCAAAGGGGCCTAAAATGCTGCATGTTTAATTGAAAAAAGGCTAAACAAAATGTTTCCCATTTTGGTTTTCCGAGCAAAAAACCCAAAAATAATTCAGAAAAATGACAAATACCGATTATTCTTCCAGGGTTTCCCTCCCGAAAATTTATCATTTATTTGTTAAAATGTAGCGAAAAATTTTTTAAGGCTTCTTGAGTGGGGCCTCTATTTTAACAAATCTGATTTTTAGCGATTAACCGAAAAATCTAATTCAAACTGATATACTTTTAGCGCTGAGATTAACAATGCCATTTAATGTACCATCGGAATAATTATACTCCGTTTAAAACCATATCAATTGCAATGCCAATTTGTAATTGAAAATTTACCTTGAACACTTTTCTGTTCGTAAGATAAATAAGTTCTAAAATAGGTTTGTTCTGTCCTTGAGCCTTTGTTAAACATAACAAAGATTAATGACAAATGCGAAAAATATGTAAGGCAGATTGAAGCCTTATGAATAAAACACACAATTAAAAAGAGGCATTTCAATGTGTCTTGATAGCGCAGTTGGCAGAGTGTCCGTGTCTGTTTTGTATACATGCATTTACATGTTCGAATTCATAGTTAGGTATAATTACATCTGAGACTTTTTATATAATTATCTTTTTCTTATTTCCAAATAGTTTTGAATGTGTGTGATAGATATTTTTGTACACATGTTGACATGCACTTAAAAGTTTTAGGATAATGTCGAACGTCAGGAAAGCGCATTATTAGAAATGTAAAAAAATATAATGAATAAATGTGTTTATAATGATTCATGTATATTAAAATTATTATTATTATTATTATTATTATTATTTCGTAATCGCAATGTGTTCAAATAATTCGATTTTTAAATTGAAATAAAAAAAGAAACAAGAAAGGAAGGAAAGAAATAGAAATTAAAAAGAACAAAATATATTTAAACAAAAGACAAACTAAATAAAAAGGGAGAAACACAATAACAACATCATCATTATATCATGGCAGTGCGTAGGGTTCGAACCTATAAGTTCAAAGCATTAAAACTTACAGTGACCTTGACTTACCACCTGAGCCATCACGATGGTAGACATTCTTCTAAGAATTAAACTATATATAGTTGTTGACACTATATCAATCTCGGATAATATGCAGAGGACTTTCCCATGTACCGTTAAGACCAAATTTCATCCTAGGATAATAGCCTGGTT